GGAATAGTTCACCCAAAAATGAAAATTTGCTGAACATTTACTCACCCTCAGGCCTTCCAAGATGTAAATGAGTTTGTTTCTTCATCAGAACAGATTTGAAGAAATTTAAAATTGCATGTCTGCAGTGAGTGGGTGCCGTCAAAATGAGAGTCCAAACAGCTGATAAAAGCATCACAATAATCCACAAGTAATCCACACGACTCTATTCCATCAATTAATGTTTTGTGAAACCGAAAACTGTGTGTTTTAAGTTTAAAAAGTTAAAACTCACATTCTAACGGCACCCATTTGCTGCAGAAGATTCACTGGTGAGCAAATGATTTAATGCTAAATTTCTCCAAATCTGTTCTGATGAAGAAACAAACTCATCTACATCTTAGATGGCCTGAGGTCAATTTTAATTTTTTGGGCAAAAAATTCAGTGCACTTTCATAACTTTTCTACAATCTTTCCAGTATTTTTTTTAAGCATTTCATAAAGATAAATACAGATTTCCATTTGTTTGTCAGTACCCAAATGTTTGTAGTGTACAGTTTTTTTCTAGAGTACCAAAAGTCCCTCAGTGGACAGACTGATGATATCAAGCTAACTTGTGGACCAGTTTTACTCTACTTTAAGATCTTAATAATTTCCATGATGTTTCCAGAACTGGAAATCACATGTTTTCCATGATCATGGGAGCCCTTCAAGTGAGCTTATCTACAATTAGTTTTCTTAATGTAGGCCAGTGAGTCTCTTGATCTTATAATGGAATAAGTGGAAATATCTGTTCATAAAATCAGTCGTCAGCAATCAGATCTGCTTATTTCAAAATCACATTTCGGCACAGCATGACTTTGAGATTCCAAACAGAGTATCTTACTGTCCATACTGATCAACCTTTCTGCTGCTCAACTCATTTTTAAGTGGAGCAACGTATGGCACAAGAGAAAAAAAGTGTAGGAAACGTCTTGAGGTGTTTTTGACTCCTTAATGGATGGAGAAGGAGGTAGAGTGGCTAAAAGATGGAGGCTTCAGGCCAGGCAGATTGGAGATTGTTTTCAGATGGGAATATCTTGATACATTTATTAGACTCCAGGGCATGTGCAATAACACTGATGACACAAATCCATTCTCCTTAATGTTGCATCTTCATGAACTTAGCTTCTTAACAAGGCTCTTGTAACATTTACATTTAGTCATTTTGCAGACGCTTTTATCCAAAGCGACTTACAATTGGGGGATACATAAAGCGATTCTTCTTAAAGAGGCAAACAGATACAGGAAGTGCTTGTAATACCAAGTTTCTAGACATTGTTCAAATAAGTACAAGCTAGAAAGAGAAGGAATAAGTAAAGACAGAGAATTTCCCAGTCGTACCGCTGCATTCTGAATCATTTGTAGAGGTTTGATTGTGCTTGATGGAAGTCCAGCCAGAAGAGCATTGCAGTAGTCCAGCCTAGAAATGACAAGGGCAAATCACAACTGTGTAAATCACAACTTTGTTTGGGCCAAGATATTAATTTTAGGGCATCTGGTTGACCTCACTTAAAGGCCAGCACAAGAATGACCTCACACCACAAGTTGATATGATTCTTTAGGGTCTTAATTAAAAGTCTGGCAAGCCGTTTTGTAGCATTTTCCTTTAAATGTTAATGAGCTCTGCTGACCCCACCTCTTCCAAGGCCGCTCTCTGAGGGACTGTTTACTTTAGCCGCTGAATGATTCAACACACATTTCAGTTCAAACAACTTATAAAAGTGCATGTAGCATCCTATGACCCCTTTAACATGCATCAAACTGAGGTTTGATGGTGAAATAGCGGAGTTCCCGACCAGGATAACAGGCATAGATCTTCTCCTGTTGTTTGGATTTTTTTTTTCTTTGATTTAAGATCTTCAAATCATATCTTGTGGAGTTCATATCTGTGGAGGTCCATTTCCCCCACATAATTTCAAAAATGCTTTGGTAAAAAATAATTATGACAAAAAGTCAAAATTATGAGATGCCAAGTCATAATTGTGAGATAAAAAGTCGAACATATGACATAAAAATCATAATAAAAAGTAAAATTTTAATATCACACTTATGACTCTGAGTATCTCATAATTTCAGCATTTCATATCATGAATAAAAATGAATTATTATCTCAAACTGTCATAAATGTTTGACTTTTTGTGTCATAATTACGACTTACTATCTTGTAATTTAGATTTTTAGTGTAATAATTATGACTTTCTATATCAAAATTATGATTTTCTAAAGCATGACTTTTTTTCTTACATGGTGGAAATGGGCTTACATAGAAATGTCTGCTTAATTGCTGCTGTCAATAAATCAAAATGGAAATGCCAAATAATAAGAAACGTCAAAATTCAAGTTGAAGTTTCCTATATAAATAAATCAGTCAATACAGTTTAGTACAAAATGTTTAATATATAAATTAATAAATTATAAATTATACTTTCCTCTGTGGTCTCAAAATGTTGGGCACCTTTGTATAATTGTTTGTGGATGGCTTTTGCTACACACTTTTCAAGAATAGGACACCCTGAAGAATTAAACATCCATCTTGGTAATGTTTAATGTGCATCTCTCTCAGGATGATTTCTCTGCTACTCAGCTCACAGGGTAGCATTTTTAGACTCCTCACTCCTTCCTGTCTCGACTCGATAGGTTTAACAGGAGAGTTCGAGGATCCTGCAGGAATTCCAAAATGTGCTGGATCTGAAGAGTATGTTGAAAAGCATATCATGTTTTGTGTGTGCCAAGACAGAACTTTCTCTTGTTCTCTCACTGTCACAGGTCAATTAACACAGTTTGTGTTGCGCCTCACACTTTAGCTTTAATTATGACTCGCTTCCAGTTGGCACTGATGAGTAAAGAAATGCCCTGGACTTCCTTCTGTTTAGACAAACCACGCGCTTCGTAAGAAACACAAACACACGCTGATGAACTGGAGTGTGTTCATGTATATGTGCATGTCTAAGACAGCAGGAGAGAATGTAAGGGAAAGAGAGAGTAAAAAAATAAATAAAACAATATTATGCAAAAATGGGTTATAGTTCTCCACAACAACTGTTTCTCCTTGTCATTTAGCTTTCTGTGGGTGGCCACAGTTACCAATGCATTCTCCTGTGACGCACATGCTGGAGAGCTGTGAAACTTTTCCAGTGTCTGTCACTGTGCCGGATTCTTGCGCTGGCCTCAATTTTAGATGGAGCTGTTTTACATAATACTGGACAGGACAAATTTTTTACTAAACTGTTTTGCCCTTACAAATCAGAACTGTAGGGTTTGCATGGGGATGCTGTCAGATTGTAATGCCATGGTACTTTGATATATTCCATTGTATAACTTAAATATATACACTACCATTCAAAAGTTTGGGGTCAGTAAGATTTTTATTCAGCAAGGATGCATTAAATAGATCAAAGGTGAAAGTGAACATTATTACAAAATCTATTTTAAATAAATGTTGTTCTTTCTATTCATCAAAGAATCCTAAAAAAATGCATCAAGGTTTCCACAACAAATATAAAGCAGAAAAGCTGTTTTCATCTGTGATAATTAAAAAAAAGTGTATTGAGCACCAAATCAGCATATTAGAGTGATTTCTGAAGAATAATGTGATACTGATGACATTAAAAGTCTTCTTTCAAAAACATTAAAATATCTTACCAACCCCAGTGTTTGAACAGTGTTGAATGTATATATAGACTAACTGACACACATACATTTACATAAGAATTTATAAAAGGCAATTTTATTTTATTTCCAAGCTGATAGCTGAACGCTACTGCAGCATTAAAGGTGCAATAGGTGATTGTCTTCAGAAACATTTTTTACACAGTGTTCATTGCTCCCTACTCCCTGAGCAGGGGAAATCTGTTGAAGTTTACCTCACTTTGGAACATGGGCTGGAATTGAGAACGGCTGATGTAGCCTATTGTAGTAATGTTGTCTCTGGTATTCTGGTCTGTGAGTGTCTATGCGTTCGGGGGCGTGGCTTTGGACAGCGATTGCAGGGAGGGTGGGACGTTCGCTTTCAGTGCTATCAGGCTAAAGTTAGCATTTTCCGAGATCATCTACTGCACCTTTAAGTCATTTCGCAAAAATATTATGTACTACTGTTTAAAACATTTATATAATAATATATATGACCATATAATCATTCATATTCTTCTAGTATTTTAAAGAATAGCAGGCACTATACAGTATATAGATTAACTAAAACTTATTTAAAAAATAAATAAAGTTAGTATTCTATTCCAAACATGTCCAGATTGAGTGCTAATGTCTGGATTGACGTTTGCTCCTCAGACACTGCTTTGACTTTTGAACTCTGACCTTTCACACGCCTGCTTTTCATTAACACCACCAACCATTTTAATTGATTCCGATTTTTTCACATTTTGTCTGTTTATTTGAACTGTTCATAACCTGATCATTGTTTTCTCTCATTTTATCTTACACGTTATTAAGTCAAATTGTTTTGGTTTACCGCATTGCAAATCACTGGAGTCCAGCAGTGACTCAGACTTTGCTTTTTTTTCTCTTAGTGTATATATGGATGACATACAGTACATGTTTGCGAGAACCACCCATTCATATGGTTTAAATTACAGGGTATGACATGCAGACACAGAACAAAACGTCTTTTTTTGTTCATTTTTTTTTTTATGATATGTTGAATGCTTTAAATGGTATATCCAGGTCTGTATTATATTCCATTTGAATGTATTTTTCATATGTTGGATTTGTATTGTATAGGCTGATTAAATATGCCAGGTTTGTTCTGTGGGGTTGCAGCTGTGTGTATTTGTGTGATACAGTGGCACTTACTGCCCTCTAGTGCTGGAGTTAAAATTACAACATTGCATGAATTCCCTGAATGCCAAAAAAGAAACTGTGATAAAAGCCAATGTACTAGGGGGATCTGGGCTGTATATTGTTTTTACGGCCCGCTAACCTAATTTACCATAATTAACTTGCATATTTCACGTTTATTTTGTTTTTAGAGATGATTTTGATGAGGAAGGTTTCTGCCAGCCATACAGAGGGATCGCGTGTGCTCGCTTCATAGGAAACAGGAGTATCTTCGTGGACTCGCTGCAGATGCAAGGCGAGATTGAGACCCAAATCACAGGTAGCCCTTAAAACATTCGCTTCTCAGTCCTTACAAAAGAAGTTTCAAAACAACTATTTTGTACATACTTCAACTGAAATGCAGCTGATAAAATCAGGCTGAAGCCTTAGATAAGAGAGCTTTTGCCAGCTAGGCTGTGTTTTGGACATTTACAATGGTCATACATAGGCATTTATGATGGTATTCTTTGAATAACCATATAGATACCAAGCTATATGAATATAGTAATTATTCAAGACCATCTTGTATATCTGCCATGGTATTACAATCTGATAGAAGAACGAGAGATAAAAGTTATGTAGTCTGAGAGAGTCTAAAGGTTTTTTAAAGCTAAATCTTAGTATCATACACATATGGACTGGACTAAGCCTGGCTTTAGATTTCAATTGTTTTTTGTTTTCTCTGAGAAATTTCCCAGTTGTAGCTATTTTAGATCACACAGGCATTCACTGTGGTTTCCTCTCAAGAGTGAGCAGTCAATTTGTTTTTGAATCACACAGCTTCTTGCGAAACCACAACAATTCACCAGAACTTTGTTTCTTTGTTGTTTGTGTGCAAGATATAATTTCGCTAGACTGTTACGTAGCTTGTTGGAATCCACAATGGCTTATTTTTGCTTTAAAATCTGGAGGAAACCCCTGTGTGAAGACTTGTTTCTGGGGGTTTTTTTCAGCGGCGTTCACCATGATTGGCACCTCCAATCACCTGTCAGATCGCTGCTCCCAGTTTGCTATCCCGTCCCTGTGCCATTTTGCCTTCCCGACATGTGACCGCAGCTCTGGCATGGACAAACCGCGGGACTTGTGCAAGGACGAGTGTGAGATTCTGGAGAACGACCTGTGTAAGACAGAGTACATCATCGCTCGCTCCAATCCCCTCATCCTCAAGCGCCTCAAACTGCCCAACTGTGAAGACCTGGTTGCTTCAGACAGTCCCGAGGCTGCCAACTGTATGAGAATAGGCATCCCAATAGCTGAGACCATAAATAAAAGTATGGATTTTGTGTCATTATTAAAAAAGACTTGTCAAAATCAAATTTTATTGAAAATCTAAATGAACTCTCTTTCATTTTAGGCCACAAATGTTATAACAACAGCGGTTCGGATTTTCGCGGGACAGTCAGCATGACTAAATCTGGTCGTCAGTGTCAGCCGTGGAACTCGCAGTATCCCCACAGCCACACCTTCCTGGCCATGCGTTACCCAGAGCTCAACGGGGGACATTCCTACTGTCGCAACCCCGGCAACAAGCACGACGCTCCCTGGTGCTTCACCCTAGATGAGCGTGTGCGCATGGAGCTCTGTGACATTCCTCCATGTGGTGAGATGCACTGCTCATATTGACATAGGCTATGTTCAGAATAGCATGCTACACTCATATTTCCAAAATATACAGTATGCATGCTTTGTGTTGTATGTGGGTTTATTTATGCACAGAATACCGGTAAGATCTACCCAAATTGTTAAAATGCTATATCCCACAATGCAATGCACTACTAGCATTATTTATAGGCCTATACTAATATAGTATTTTTTTAAAGATTTTGAATAGATTTTATTTTTTTTACTGTATTTAATATAGCTTCATTAACTTTTAGTTTAGTTTTTTATTACAGTTATTTGCCAAGGCAACATTTCTCATTTTTATTTTTACAGTGAAGTTTTCAAGTTTTCTAATAATATATGTTTTATTTTGGTTTTATTTTAATTACTAAAACATTTTTTTTATTTTAGTTTTATTCAACAGTAATAATGCAATGCACTTGACTTTTATTATTATTTCATTGGACTGCAAAAAGTTAAAATATGCTTACACAAAATTTGGTTAAAAATGCATCTCAGAAATATTTTTCTGAGATGATAAATGTGCACCACTCTCTGATCAAACATGCATGTAATAAAGTCAAGTGCATGATTAAATAATATGCCATTTTAAAAATGAGTATGCAGTGTACAGTATATTTTTAGTATGCAGTATGCTTGTATTCTGTTCTGAACATAAACAAACTTGGGTAATCTGTGAAAGATTTTACTCCAAAACACATTTTAATTAGCACTGCCTTAGCTTGAGTGCAAATGTTGTTATAACAGACTTTTCGTGTTGTTATAACAGACTTTTCGTATGGTTTTAGTTCATATATTTGTATACTGATTGTCCACAGATTTGCCCAAGCATGGCAGCAGCAGTATGGGGATCCTGTACATCCTGGTACCAAGCGTTGCTATACCGCTGGCCATTGCCCTGCTGTTCTTCTTCATCTGTGTGTGCCGAAACAACCAGAAAGCCTCACGTCCACCAGCCCCACGTCAGCCCAAACCAGTACGCGGCCAGAACGTGGAGATGTCCATGCTCACGGCATACAAACCAAAGGTAAGATGTTACCACTAACAGATCATAACCAACTATGAAAGTGCATCTACACCACAGTGTATCATCGGATTCTGGCACAAATCCTGCATCTTATTCTCTTATTACCCAAAGGTGCTAAATGAGCTTTAACATTTAAGTAGTTTCTGATTGGCCTACTTTAGTGAATCAGCTGCTAAAACAACATTGAGCATATGTGCAAACAAACATTGTTATCGGTTGTGTCTGTTTTGATTTTTATTCTTATGCTTTTTGTCCATTGGAGTCGCTGGGCATTCTCATAACGTTTTAATTAGTGTGCATTCCTGAGTTAAGGGCACCACACAAACAGGAGGCAAAACGACAGGATGAGCATATGGAGGCAATCTCTTCCAGGCCTGGAGAGGAATCTAAATATAATCATATTGTTATCATTCCATTTGGATCATTCAAAGCAGATTCAAATGAGATTTTCGCTTAAAAATTGTTTTTCCTTGCTTTTTCATCTTGGTTGCTGGTTAGAGAGACATTTTGACAAACAAATATTTTGATGAGATGATGGTAGTTCCGTTTAGTTCCAGTATTAATCAGACCTTTTGACACACTGAAGTGCTGTATGTATCTGTAACACATTGAGACCTCTCATCTACAGTCTCAGCTGCAGGCCAGAGTTCAGACTAAGGTCATACAAAGGTCACCATTCACTCAAGTAATATCCAAAACAGGGATGAGACATGTTTAGCCTCAGGCAGAGTTGACGCTAACACAAAACATCTGCTTCTTTCAAAGAAAGAGATTCCTATCTTTTATTTGATGCTGTTCATTTCTCCGCTGAATGTAGCTGTGACCTTTTGGCAAACTTGTTATTTCCTGTTTTATGAGTCTTGTCCATACCAGTCACACAACATTATGCATGTTACTTACAGCTATATCATGCATATAGTGGATAAAACCATACAGAGACATAGTGACTGTCATGTAAGTGGTAAGACAGCTTCTGCGAAGTACATAAATGTACATGACAGGGAGAATATTTTAAGAGTAAACAGAGGTTTTATGCATTTCTGTGGTCAGTGGTTGAGGTTGCAGCATGTCTTGTTTTTCAGCAACACAGTAAAAGATTAAAAACAAAGCTACAACAGTTGACAAAAGTTTCTTCATGGATTAACAAAAAAAGCAAGACATGTTATTACCATACCTTTTCTCTCAAATTGTTTAATAATTTAATTTAATTATCAATTAAATATTTAATTATTCAAGCCTATTTATTTAAAGTACCTTTGGCGTTATCTAAATATTACTTTAAGTTAGGCTTTAATAACAGTAATAGTATTATGAAGATTCCTTTAATAATGTAATCTTTCGCAAATCTCATAACTACTCATTTTGTTTAGCTTATTGTACATTCATTTTAAATATTCTGCTAAAAATGGTACATGATCATGAGATTAATAACAAATAAACCAAATAAATATATATATCATTCCATTATTATAATTATTATAATGTGATATGAAGTATATATAATAATTATAAAAATGGAATTAAATTGAGAAATACATAATTACTGACACTAAAAATGTATTCTGCATGTATTTCTTATATATATTTACATATGTCTCAAAATAATTTGTTTTGAATAATATTACTTGATCACAAATCATTTACTACATTATTGCCTGATATCTGCAATAACAAATTTGCCAGCCCAGCCTTACTCTTCTATTTCTTCCTCTTCTGTAGAGCAAAGCCAAAGAACTTCCTCTGTCTGCAGTTCGCTTCATGGAGGAGTTGGGTGATAGCAACTTTGGTAAGATCTACAAAGGTCACCTGTACCTGCCAGGCATGGAGCAAGCTCAGCTAGTTGCCATAAAAACACTGAAGGACATCTCAAGTGCACAACATTGGGGCGATTTCCAGCAGGAAGCATCTGTCCTGGCAGAACTTCATCATCCCAATGTGGTTTGTCTCCTGGGTGTCGTGACCCAAGAGCAGCCCGTCTGCTTGCTCTTCGAGTTCCTAGCCCAAGGAGACCTCCACGAGTTCCTCATCATGCACTCTCCCCACTCAGATGTGGGCTGCAGTAGCGACGAAGATGGTACCGTCAAGTCCAGCCTCGATCATGGAGACTTCCTTCACCTGGCCATTCAAGTCGCAGCTGGGATGGAGTACCTCGCAAGCCACTTTTACGTCCACAAAGACCTTGCTGCAAGAAACATTCTGGTTGGTGAGCAACTTCACATAAAGATCTCTGATCTTGGCTTTTCAAGAGAAGTCTACGCTTCAGATTATTACAGAGTCCAACCCAAAATGCTCGTTCCTATTCGCTGGATGCCACTAGAAGCCATCATTTACGGGAAGTACACAACAGACTCTGACATTTGGGCGTTTGGTGTGGTTCTGTGGGAGATCTTCAGCTTTGGCCTGCAGCCCTATTACGGTTTCAGCAACCAGGAAGTGATGGAAATGGTACGGAAGAGGCAGCTGCTGCCCTGCCCAGAGGATTGCCCTCCTCGCGTGTACGCGCTGATGACCGAGTGCTGGCAGGAGGGACCCGCTCGACGGCCGAGATTCAAAGACATCCACGCCCGACTACGTGCTTGGGAGGGTCTGTCCTCTCACGCCAGCTCCAGCACACCATCCGGAGGCAACGCCACCACCCAGACTACCTCTCTGAGTGCCAGCCCCGTCAGCAACCTCAGCAGCCCGCACTACGCCGGATACATCTACGGAGCTCCGCAGAGCCTCCCACCGGGACAAATCGCGGGCTTCATGGCAGCACCGATGCCTCAAAACCAGCGTTTTATACCTGTAAATGGATACCCTATCCCAACAGGCTATGCTGCCTTCCCTGCTGCCCATTTCGCTGCAACTCAAGGCCCTCCACAGGTGGTGCAGCACTGCCCTCCTCCGAAGAGCCGGTCACCCAGCAGCGCCAGCGGCTCAACAAGCACGGGTCACGTGACCAGCGTCCCCTCCACAGGCTCCAATCATGACGCCAATACGCCTTTGCTTTCTCATTGTGTCACTCTGACGCCCATGACAGCATTGCCGGGCGGCACAATGCCAGTGTTTGGACATATGGCACAGAAGGTCATGCAAATAGACCCGAGTCAGGCAGCGCTGCTAGCTGACACTAACAGACTGATATACAGTGAATCCATCATTACTGCCAATTTGTGAATACATGTTTTGTCCTGTATATTGATCTATTGAATTATTGATATTTTAATGTTTTTTCCTTCCTTGTAAATATGTAATAGCCTGAAAAAAATGCGAAAGTTTATATTTTAATGTTGTTTTATAAATGTGTCTTAAAGGGATAGTTCACCCAAAAATGAAAATTCTGTCATGAATTACTCTCCCTCATGTCGTTCCAAACCCGTAAGACCTTCATTTATCTTCGGAACACAAATTATGATATTTTTGATGAAATCTGAGAGCTTTCTGACCCTGCATAGACAGCAAGGGAACTACACCACTGCTGTCACATGGACTATTTTAACAATGTCCTTACTACCTTTCTGGCCCTTGAGCATGTCAGTTGCGTTGCTGTCTATGGAGGGTCAGAAAGCTCTTGGATTTCATAAAAAATATCTTAATTTGTGTTCCGATACGAAGGTCTTACGGGTTTGGAACAGCATGAGAGTGAATAATTCATGACAGAATTTTCATTTTTGGGTGAACTACCCCTTTAAAAGAAACTTGTATATTCACATATTCTCTGTGAAGTTCATGCCACTTTTTTCGACTTAGTATGACTAAACGTGGCCTTAAAATGTCCTTTTTCCAACCAGAACTTTGAAATCATGCCCTTTCACGATTATTTTCGACAGAGCTGTGGGTTTATCATCAGTTTTGTCTACTTTTTCATTTATTGACGACTTCCTGGAAGTCTTTAGAATGTCTTGGTGTCTGTCCCGTCATTACATTTTGGAATCAGTTAAATTGCATTATTATAGCATTGAAATCCAACCCTATAGCCGAAGTTCCCAAATTAAGGGAATAGTTTTGCAAATATCAATCACTGATGCCTTAATATGAAAAAAATTTTGCTTTAATTATGGTCACCATATGTGCCTGCATTTTATTATGAAGTCAGGCATTTGTACATGTGGGAGAGAATGTGTTCTGTGACATTCTTCTGTTAATTGAAATCATTTCAATACACGAGACACACCAGGGCTGCGTTTGCTGTAAGCCAGTGACTTCTCGGGCAACATTTGTGTTTCTAAGGGACAGGCTTTTGAAGTGGCAACGGTGTAGCTGCAACAAAATAGCGAGAACTTTGGTGCTAACCAAGCATGTAACCAAGCAAGCAAAAAAAAAAATTGGGTGAATCCCTTTAAGTCAAAAGCTGTCAAAATTGGGCAGAAACCTACATTTATACACAAACTGACTGCTAACTTTCAGATGAATTTTTTTTCTCAACTGTCATGGAATCACATAAATAGATAGAATAGTGGGATATATCGATTAAGAAATCTAAGATGATAGGATGTGACACAATCATTGGATTCAGATGTGCCTTTTTTGCCTTCCTACCTCCAGTCCTTATACAACAAATTCAGGCAACCAGAAAACATTCTTGTGAATTTTATATTCTATACGTGCCTAAACCCAGAGCATACATTAATATTTTAAACCGTCAGGATAACATTTTATTTGTCTAAACGAGTCGTCAATTTTTCACATCACTGTTTGGCAAAGCATATGTGAAATCTGTCCTAAAACTGACGCAGAACTTTTTCTACAATAAACTCATCACTACCTATAGAATGTAATGCCTAAATATTCCTCTAGAGGTCAGTGTCACTCTGCGACTCTGATTGAATGAAGTTCTTTATATTTGTCTCATGTTAATACTGTATGTGCTTGCGATTTTCAGCTTTCATTTGATGTTTGTTAACTTTATTCTCTCTCTGAGTTTGTAGCTTGTTTAATCTCTTACAATTTCACAGAAACAGAGATTAAACAAATAATTTTAGTAAGCAACTGTATGTCATGTTCATTCTCATTTTGGTTTGTTGCCATGCAATTGTTTAATTCAACGACACCCTTTTCCTGTGTTGAAGACAATCGAGAATTGATCTTTTATGCAGGGTACAGTGTTTGTGAATACATGATTGCTTGAGACCTATGAAATGCCTTTTGGACAATCTTCTGATGCGTCATGACATTTCATGGACAGATGTTTTGCATGATAAACTGATGTGTAGATCAATGGTTTATTTTTATATGATTTGTCACACAATTTTACATCAATATTGCAGTTGTATTATTGTACGTCTGAACATACAGTGTGTTGACATTATAAAAGCCACTTAAATAAACAGCTTGGTTTAATGTCATTTCTTTTTCAAGTGTTCTATTATGAGCTCATGTCAGTACATCATTAATATCTTTCAAAGGTTCTGTTATTGTTTTTATCTATAATATTTAAGTTTACTGCTCTTATATGCCACAAACGGACAGTAGCAGACCTCAAATTAACATTAAAAGCAGGGTTATTGCAGAGCGTTTCACATATGCCACCAGAAGAGGGCAATGTAGTGTTAGTTTAATTTCAAACATCAGGGTCCCTTACGAAAATTAACCATGTGCTGCGTCTCAATGTGCCTACTTATACTACGCCCTTAAAGTATGTACTCTTTTGGTGAAGAAAAAGTACACACTTTTGAGTGTGTAGTAGAATAGCAGGCAAGCTTTGGGACATACTATCACGTCACACAACTGCGTCTTTAAAGGACCGCTCTGTCGCAGCTGTTATACGCACCCTGTCACTAAACTGGCCTGTCAATCATCTTGTCACAGTTAACATCCTCCACATTTCATTTAATTTAACTTCCTACCGTACTGGAGAGAAAAGAAGTAGCTCGTTGATCTGCCAGTCGTGGGTCTTTCATGCAGGAGAACTCTGCTCATATTTTCTGCATAATGATGCATTTAAAAGTTAACGACCAAATGGATGTTTATAAAAGTTCACATTGCTGTTGCAGATGAAATATAACACGGATAACAATAAATAAATATTTTTTACCAGGTTAAATGTTTATTATTGGTAACTCGACCCCCTTTTTGTACACCCTTCACCTAACCGTCGATCGTGCGTACCGCCATGTTTGTAGTTTTTCTAACGCGTTTTATTCGTGTTTGTAGTTCTGGACCGAATCCTTCGCGCAATGGATTGTGGGCAATTTTACCCATTAGAGCAGGGGTGTCCAACCCTGCTCCTGGAGAACTACCGTCCTGCAGACTTTAGTTCCAACCCTGCTCCAGCACACCTGTCTGTAATTATCAAGCAACCCTGAACACCTTGATTAGCTGGTTCAGGTGTGTTTGATTGGGGTTAGAGCTGAAATCTGCAGGATGGTAGCTCTCCAGGAGCAGGGTTGGACACCCCTGCATTAGAGTGTGCGCGGATCCACACTTCAAAAATCGGCCTGAAATAGTAAACCATCCGGGGACTTTTGGCATACTCTTTTCTACATACTGTGCTTTGTCCGAAATCGCCCCCTATACCCTCATTCACTATTCCCTACATTAGGTCACTAATTCAGTTCACTAGAAGGAGTGAATGAAAACGAGTAGTGAATTCGGACACTGAGTGCACCGGAAGGAATGACGCTTTTGCATAGTTTGTGCTTGCTGTTTATTAATCATTTGAAAATAGCAAACTAGCAGCTCCAGTAGTAAGATTAAAGGATTTATCTTGAACTCTGTCACGGAAATTATGTATAAACCCTAATCAAACAATTTAATAATCAATTTACAATGAGTGTTGTACATTATGCTGTACGCCATGGATGAGCGCTTTGTAAAAATAAACGGATTGATTATTCAGCTGCGGGCGCCATCTTCTGGCGAGATGCGGGAATTCATTCGGCGCGTGACTCTCACGGTGCATTATGGGCATTCTCTAGCCGTTGAGCGTGCACCAGATGTACACTCGTTTTTGCAGTGCATTGTGGGATTGAATGAGTGCACTCGAGAACGTCCACTATGGTTTCGGACACCACTAAAAATGGCTGTTCCCTCAAATAGTGCCCTATTTAAGGGTATAGGGGGCGATTTCGGCATAGCCACTTATTCTAATCTCACATACTATTTAGGATGGATAGTATGAACATTGAGATGCAGGGATGGTTTTATTATAGCCTAGTAAAAGTGAAGTAACCATGTTTTTTGGCGATTGATTACGAAAATTAACCCGTTTTACTACTAATACCATGATTAAAATATGGTTAGTGTAGTAATTTGTGGTTACCGTGGTTTAAATATAATGACCATGGTTTTTTGGTTCATTTGTAGTAAAACCATGTTAATTTTCATAAGGGATATTCTGGGGATGAGCTCACTGACTGTAGGATATTTGTCTTGTTTTATATATTTGTTTTGAATTGACTATACTTGTGAGGACCAAATGTCCTTACATTGTGAAATACTTTTCAAGCCACTAGTGAGGACATTTTACTGGTCCTCACTATTTTAAAAGACTGCCCCTGTAGTTAAAACCAGGTTATAATATATAATATTTAACTAGCTGTATATATCAAAAAAACAATGGAGAAAAAAATGCAAGAAGTCTATGCAATGTGCCCATTTAGCTAAGTAAACGTGTGTGTCTGCATGTGAATGTTTTACATTATAGTACTGCACGCATTTCAAAGGTACGTCAAACTATTTTCCTTGGCACTGGATAAACAAATCTTTTCAAAAGACTAACAAGTCCAGCATGTTTGCCAAAGGAAAAATAATAGAAATTATGTGTGCATGACTTTATGATTACTCCCATAAAGACTCAGTCTCAACCAGGAGAAAAAAAAAAATCACGACCTTGAACACAGAACATTCAGCATTCAGAGGAGAGGGGTTTGATGTTGGGAATGTTTTTGATCAGTTCTGCTCTCCGGTTTCTTATCTGGAACGGTCCCAGGAATGGCCATCCAGTCTCTGGCTCTGGAATGCCATGTGAAGTTATAAATCCACACCATGAGCAATGTGTGTCAAAGTGCCATTTATGAGAGAAAAATATAACAATATAATAGGATTTTAACAATAGGCTACATATTATTCCAAAGATTTATTATTAAGAAGATAAAGAAGAAGCATAGAGGGGGAAAAAACAAGACTAGGGATGCTCATCTTTTTTAAATTGAACATAATTAAACATTAATGATATAATTCATATTATACGATTACAATGACTCATGATATGATTTGCAAATAGTAGGGCTGTGTAAATGACAGACAATGGTTATGACTGGGCCTGGCTTTGGATGAAACCCCAT